AAAGCATTATAACAAGCCCAATACTGATCCGAGAGATTATCCTGCAGGGGAATATCCTGAACTGGAAGAAGATGAAAAACAAGAATAAGAAATGGAAAAGATTGTAGATCACTATACAAAAAAAAAAGGAATCGAATATCTGGTACAATGGTAGGGATGGCCTGCTGATTACGATATATGATTGCTTGTATATCCTAATCTAAATAAGGCCAAAAACGAGATCAAGTTATATAATCAAAACCATTACGTCTCCGAACCGAGCCCGGGGAAAACCAGAAAGAAACAAGTACATCCAAAAAGCTCAAAAAGAGATCGGTTATAAAAGAATACTTAACTTGAGATACTCTTTTCCTATAAATCTGAATGGTTTCTTAAACCAAGGTTTTCCAGGGAAATAGGTTTTTATTGAAGCTCAAATTAGCAACAGGAAAACCCAAAACAAACCTATTCTTAAAGTATAACCAACCCGAGATCGCTCAGGTATAATAACTATAGAACACTACTATCTCCGGGGATTCATCATCAATATCAATCCAGTTCTATATTAGAATTAATAAAAGTCAACCGGGATCGAACCAGGATCTTATCTAAAAACACAGAATAGTATTCTGATTGCAAAGTTCCTCAATCAGAGAATTTATCTAATGTAATATATCTTGTTCGAAAAGCAGTAAATTCGTCTCCTTTATTACTTGGAATAAATCTCTCAATTTCTTTAAGAACTCTTGAAAGGTAGAATAAAGATTCTGTTATTTAATCGAACTATTTTCAGGCTAATATTACTTATTGTTTGTATGGCGCTTTAACTTCCTAATAGCTGAAATCCTAGCTTTATGGATTTTATCTTTATGAACAATATCGGAGCTTATAATCAATACAGAGAAGTCGATCTGATAATCTGTATTATCCATGGGATCATCTTTTTGCTAGTCATCTTCCAGTAACTGGAGATTAGTCTCCTTCCAATCCAAATACGTGTTGATATAAGTGATAATCTGTCTTGTTAAAGATAAAAAGACTTATAAGGATCTATTATTAAAAGTTAAGTAAGATCTAACCAAATTAATTCCAAATTACTTATTTTCTTGTACCAGCCTTTCTGAGTATTACAATATCTACAATTGAACGAATTCTCTTCTATTTCATATATATAACTAGGGTCCAGATGAAGGCGTTTGAGACACCGGAGACAATACAGACGAGTAGGAAAGTCGTCTATAATAAGAGCATGAAGGCGTGCAAAAAGATCTGCTTGTAATACAGCTATATTGATAAAGTTGTGAAACAGAAATCGATAAGGAATGTATTAGGGTTAAATATGGGAAACCTTGGGGAAACTGTGTTACTAGGGAAAGCTTATTATAGTTATTGTTTATTATTTCCAGAAAAAGTATAGTAATATATTATTACTACAGAAACTTTCCGGAGTAGTTGTTTATATTTATTGCATTTGTTTGTTTATAGGTAATATAAGCCAAACTACAAGGATATAGTTATTGAGGGGGGTATCATATCATTGTATAGAGACTAATCCCTTTCCGGGGACTAATCGGAAAAGCGTGGATATAAAAGGATACAGAGTATCCTTTCATATCCTTTGTTCTTTATTAGTTAGTTCGTATTGAAATCTATAAAGAACTACTCTTATACCACCATAGCAGTGGTATGAATTCAGTTCTGTACAAACTATACCCTAACTGTAGTACTGATACTATCTGGCCTATTCCCTGCTTGTGACCCCTCACAATTATAAAGGAAAATATTGTCTTTATATTCTTTTATTACTTATATAATTTATATCTTATCCTTTATTCTTTCTTTGTTTTATCTTATCTTTTTGCTTGTTTTCTATATTTCAAAGCATTCGATAGTTATATACTCTTTTTTATAATAGAAATAATAAATATCTTCTAATATTTAATCTACTTCTTGATTTCTACTTTTATTTATTCAAGTATTATTTTATAAACGATTATTTTCACAATCTTTTTTTTAACTATTACTACAATCTTAATCTTTAGATAGATCTTTGTTATATTGTCTTTGTCCTCTATCTTTTCCACTACCAATTATATTAACAAAAATGCAAAGGATTCGATTAGCTTTTTGATTATATTAAAGTTTGAAATAGTATTAATAAATAATAATCATGTATTTAGAATAAAGGATTTGTTAAATTACTATTTTTCGTTTTTGGGAAATGATTATAAAAGATGATAAAAAATATCTATATCTATAATTACAGATTTGATATTTAATATGAAT